TTATAGTGATCCCCCATCATATAATATATCTCAGTCCCAAAGGTAGCTTATTAGGCAAGTCAAAATTGTCCTTGAATGTTCTAAAAATTATATTTAAATTGCTAGGCCCCTGATACTTAGGTCCTAGCTCGTGATGTTCTTCTGTTTCTCTTGAACTGTGGGCTATTATCTCTTTCATCCTGTTAGTGGAAGCTAAGGTATATTTAAAAATAGAGAAAGATGTTTTACCGGGATGAATGATGGAATCTCTCTCCTTTCCCTCTATTATTTTTTTATATTTTGACTGGGTACATGTAGTGGAATTCTGTTGGTTAAATATGAGTATAAGAGAATGCTACTGTATACATATTGCTGAGACTATGTCTCTTCTTCTTCTTTTTTTTTGAGTTGGAGAGAGAGGCAGAGGGATCGGGAGAGAGAGAATCTTAAGCAGGCTCCACGCCCAGCACAGAGACTGACATGGAGCTCAATCTCACAACCCTGAGAGATCATGACCTGAGCTGAAATGAAGAGTCGACGCTTAACCAACTGAGTTACTCAGGCAACCCAAGCCTATGTCTCTTCTTAAAACTGCATTTATATGAAACAAAAGTGTATACATATGAATATATACATTCTTACTTACATACATTACTATATACATATATATTTTTCAAACTTTTAGTCCTCAGACCCTGGTAATTCTATGAAACAAATCAAGTTAAAGTGACCGCAATTGTGTTATTACACACAAAGGATTACTTTTAAAGATATTCTTTTCTACCACTGAGAGCTGGGAATCAAGCTATATATATATATATATAGCTTTATATATATATATCTTTATATATATAGCTTTATATATATAACTACATATCTTTTTATATATATATGTATATATATATATAAAGATATGTAGACATAGTGAAATGGAGAGATAAAAGTGTTCCAGAAGAGACCAATGTGTGCAAACTTCCATGGTGGGAGGGAACACAGCAAATACTAAAAACTGATGTGAAAAGAGACCAGAAAATGAGGGAAGAAAAGTTAAGTGACTCACCCATGGCATCATCCAGTACCAACAGAACCTAGAGCTCATACATATCTGAACACAAATCTCTGTTTTTCCAGTTACCCCACAACATGCCTGCAACTGAGATTTGTGTGGCAAACACTGGACTTAACTGGAATTCTTTTACTGCTGATTTATTTATACAACTTTGATTCGTCCCATGGGTGCAGGCTGAAGTTTGTCTCTGGACCCATACCTCTCCCCTGTGATAGGCCAATTTGCTTTAGTCACTTGGTTTATTTAGCTTTTCTGAATGTATAACCGTGCAGAAACCTGTGACTGACATGATGTTCAAAGATACACAATAGATCTGATCTAAACTATAAGAGCTTTTTGAACTTGTGGATTTTTCCCAAAAGGGTTTTTTTTTTTTTTTTTTTACAATAAATGAATTAAGTATTGAATACTCAATGTATGGTCCAATATACCCTCTTGTATAGTCCCAATGACAACTGGTTGAATCAGTTAAAATCTCTGAGCTAGATTTCCCAATTATAAATTACCCCTCCCCCCTTAAAAACAGAGTTCTCACTAGCCACCTTTCTTGGCAACTTTCCAAGTCACAATTTGCTGCTTTTGAAACTAGGGGATATACCTAGGAACATACTGGATAAAAGAGAAGCAGACTTTTCTAGGTATTAATGTGAATGCTGCAATGAATATATAATCAGAGGACAAGACTTGTTACGTGATTCCCTCCTCATGCAACGGAAAACCAATTTACTTAATTGCCCATGTTTAAGGTTAATGTCATCATGTATGGCTTCCCGTTTTATACTGATGAGAGAATATTAAGTTACTAATGGCACAAGTCAGTAAAAAAAATTCACAGGCCATGAACTAGCATGCTAGAAAAAGAACAGAATTGGCAGGTGATACAATTAATTTATGAAAAGTCATGTTTCAGATACCTGACTCTGGTGAAAAGATGACTTTATATAGGACCTCTAGGCAAGGCAGGGGCAGGTAAATTACATTAAAACCTCAAACATTCCTAACTCCAAGCTCCTCTTACAGAAAGCAGTAATCTAGCTCAGTCTAAAGTGAGCACTTCTTCTAAGAATGTTTAATGAGCAGCGCCTGGCTGGCTGAGCTGGAAGAGCATGCAACTCTTCATCTTGGAGTTGTGAGTTTGAGCCCCATGTTGGGAGTAGAGATGGCATAAATAAACAAACTTTAAATAAAAAGAATGCTTGATGAATATTAAAATCAAACTACTTTGGGTTTCTAGTCTCTCATTATGTATGTCTGTAGCATTAGGTTAAGATGGAGGACACTGTATTGGATAAAACACCATCAATAATTTAATATCCAGCAGATAAATCACAAACACAATTATCTACATTAGACAGCAAAGGTAACTAATGTTTCACATAAGATTCTTTATCTAAGAATTAAGGTTATGACAAGAGCTGAGGTAGAGGAGAAGCCGTTTCCAGACTGGACAAGAGGACTTTATGAAGGGAACATTCTAGTTTTTTGTCTTTTCTTTTGCCTTCCCTCCAAAGAAAGGCAAATGACAAACCCTACATATGGAGTATAGTTGGCTGAGAATACTAGTGTATGCCTTTTCCTATTGTGATAGAAATCTGTGACTTTTTTTTTTTTTTTTAAGTTTTATTTATTTATTTGAGAGAGAGAATGAGAGACAGAGAGCACGAGAGGGAAGAGGGTCAGAGGGAGAAGCAGACTCCCCGCCGAGCAGGGAGCCCGATGCGGGACTCGATCCCGGGACTCCAGGACCATGACCTGAGCCGAAGGCAGTCGCTCAACCAACTGAGCCACCCAGGCGCCCGAAATCTGTGACTTTTTTAAAGGACATTTAAAGTAATAGTGAAAGAAATGCTAATAGGTTGTAGCAATTGGTGAAGTTCTCGAAAGCGTCGAATCAGTCAGAATAATTAGAGAAACTAGAACTTCTACAATGGATAAGCCAGACGAAAGAAAACAGAAATGGCAATGACACTGTACTTTCCTTTATCCCCTTCAACAAATCTCTCTCTTTTTATAAGAACATCAGTCATATTGGATTAGGCCCCATTCCACTCCATTATGATGTCACTGTAACTTAACTAAGTGTATCTGCAACAACCCTAATTTCAAATAAGGTCACTCTCTGAGGTATTGAGGTAACTAAAAAAATTTCTGCATCTCCTTTACTGCCAGTGAGCACACTTATACTCAGAACACACTGCAACGCTTCTGATACCAGATGTGTGTGTGTTCTCCACATCAAGGATCCTCTGACACAAGTCGGATGCCCTATAATTCAGTACTGACACTATCTGCCTGGAATCAGCATCAGATACCATGAGTTAAGAGCTTGGTCCCAGAGGACTGCCCCCACTTTAGATACCAATCACAAGGCTCAGACTGTCACCTGAACCTTTGATCAACTGGCTGTAAACTGGGGTTCCCATGACCCTCTGCTTGGGTTCAATCACTTGCTAGTACGGCTCACAGAACTCAGGGAAACATTTATTTACATACACCAGAAGAAAGGATGCAGATGAATGGCCAGATGAAGAGGTACAGAGGGTGAGGTGTGCCACCCTCCCAGCATATAGTTGTGTTCACCAACTTATAAAACCCCAAACTTTTGGGATTTTTATGGAAGCTTCATCACATAGGCCTGATCAATTATGAATTCAATCTCTAGCTCCTCTCCCCTTCTCAGAGAATGAGTGATAAGAGCTAAAATTTCCAAGCTTCTAATCATGGTTTTTCTGGTGACCAGTCTTCATCCTCAAGCTATTCCGAAGCCCACAGAGAGACACCTCATTAGACGAAAAGCATTACTATCACCCAGGAAATTCCAACGGTTTTAGGAGCTCTGTGGCAGGACCCAGGGGCAGAAATCAACATATTCTATTATTTCACAATTAGGCTTTAGGACTTGAACAAATCTTTTTTTGGCGGGGCGGGGGGGCACACAACTGAAATCATAACATTATCCTTTTAAGTTGCACCTGATCCTAGTAGGTTAATATACCTGGGTGTATACCTTACATTTAATATGAAATCTTTGTCAAATGAATAAAACTGAGTTGTCCATCAGGCCATCTTTTGTTTTTATTTTTATTTTTTTTTTTCATCCAAAGGAAAAACCTTGAACTCTACTATACACCACTGACATCTTAGCTAAACAGAATGAAGCTATTCCTAAGTCAATGCGAACAGGCCTCCAAGGACAACTGGCCTTGTGATTCTGGATTCATAGTTATGTGACCAGCTGTAGGGTCTGCTCTTAGTTTGTGTGGCTCATCAACATTGAGTCACTTCTTAATGGTTCTCCTCAAAGTGTTGGTTCTTCCTTGAAATCTGTAATTCTTCCTCACATAGAACTATCACAAATGAGGAGACAGAATGGGACATAAGAAAACATTTGTGTTTTGAGCACATAAAGATTTAGGCTTGAATCTAGGTCCACACTAACTAGCTCAGTGACCCTGGGCAAGTCAGTAAATTTTTCAAATCCTTAGTCTGTGTATTTGTAAAATGAAAATTCTCACTGCTAATGCCCAGAGCGACATTGAGGATTAATGCGGATAAAGCTCTTGGCTTGACATAAAGGAGGCATTTAGCAAATGTGACTTGTTTTAATTTCATAATAAATATGTTATGTTGAAACCTGACACCTGTATAAGAAAACTTTCCCTCCCATAGGGTACTAATGACAAAATTATCATGGTCTTATGTATAATCATCTATTTAAGATAAATAAAACAAACATCAATTTTAATTAAAATTATAATTTATAGGTTGAAGTAACTGTGTTCATTTTGTGGTAATGGCAGTAATAAAATTTGATCACAACAGAATTGGGAATGCAGATTTACTCACAGAACAACATTTCTTGAGCATCATATATGGGCCAGATGTTTTTTTAGGGACAATGTGTTAGAGCCACAGGTGATATAAATAGCAGGAGGAAAGTGGCACAACTTACCCCACCGACTTTCTCAAAGTGAGATCCATCTTTCTTAAAATCGGTGAGGGCCCCATTGAAATACCAGGTGAACATGATGTCTAATAGGGGGTCATGCTGCACTTGGCAGGGCAAAATGACACTTTCACCAACCGAGACATCCATGTTGGATGGTGCCAAAGTGATTCGTGTTGGTTCTATTAAGGAAACAAGAAAGGTTTAAGTAAAATGTTAGTAGCATTTTTATTTTGATGAAAGCATTTTCACAAGCTGATGGTTAATCTAACATTTAGGGTACATGATTAAAAGTCTTCAAGATGAATATAGATAATGTATTTCACTGGATCCACAAATTCCTGTTAAAAGAATTAGGATATCTGAATTTATAGAATTTATCAGTTAAAAATTAAATTCACCTATAGATAAGAGTTATAATGCTACTACAAAATCAATTTGAACTTATTTTTATTGATTTGTGAAATACAGGGGTAGAAACAGAAACCACTGGATTCTCACTGACTTTGAATGACTCAAAAATGCATTGCTACCAAAATTTAAATAGACCCAAACACTCGAAAGACCACACAAAAGACATTTAGAACAGGTACTATAAGACGGATACTAAGTTAAAATGTTAATGTGTTTTACCCCCAATGTCCCCATGTACACTTCCTTCTCCCGATCATCATAACAGTCCTCCCGTGAATTAAACTTCTTATGACCCCACTTTTCTATTGTTGCTCCTCATTTGTTGACTCCATGTTGCAGCAAAAGTCTTCAAAAGAATCATTTATGTATGTTGTCTACAATTCCTCTAGTAAATTCCCTCTTTAATCCACTCCAGTTAGCCTCTGGCTCCCTCCAACCCATTTGCTTTTGTCAAGGTTCCCAGTAATCACCCTGCTGCAAACCAATGGCACATTTTCCAATCTCACCTTACTTAATTGTCCTCTCAGCAGCATTTGCTACCCTTGATCATTGTCTTCCTGTCAGTTCACTTTCTTTGCTTAGTTTCTGGGACACCAAATTCTCTCTGTTTTCTAGAACCATCCATGCCTGTTACTCCTTATCTGTTTCCTCGTCTCTTCCTAAATCTCATAATGTTAGACTGCTTCAAGCGCAGTCCTTGGTTTTTCTTATTCTCTGTCTTCACTCACTCTGTGGGTGACTTTAGCTAGTCTTTTCTTTTCAAGTATATATCCATATGCTAACAACTCCCAAATGTGTATCTCTATTCTTCATCTCTCTCCCCAAACCCAGATTCATATATCCAACCACCTCTCCGGGACACCTACTTGGGTGTTATGATAGATATTATTGTTCATCATAATTTCCTTAAACACATACAGTAGGATTAAATTATCAGCACCTTTGAATTCAGGCATAACCAAATGTTAATGCTTGGCCAAAGAAATGTAAGATGGAGTTATGTGTGGCACAGACAGGCAGAAGCCTGGAAGAACTAAGAGACTAACTGATGTGTAGTCTTTCTTCTTCCACTGTGACAGGCAATATGCCAGATGGTGGAGGCACTGGGACCCTTTATTCCTGAATGAAGACAGTATGGCTGACCTACCACGGACTTGCTGTATAAGCAAAAAGTAAGTATTTGCTATTTTAACCCACTGAAAGGTTGGGTTTGTTGCTAGTGCCAGAATACTGTGGTCTGCTTTACACAAATAGAGCCTAATGAACATTTCATACTTAACACATCCAAACTGAACTCCTGGTCTACCTTTTCCCAAACTTTGCAACCTTGCCATCTCAGTTGTTTTGACTGTCATTCTTTCTATTATTTGCCAAATGCCCTGCAACTGTCCTTGTCTCCTTTCTCTTGGGCCTCACATCCAACTCATCAGCAACTCCTGTTGAGTCTACAAGCAGAGTATTTACAGAATCTGATCCTTTCCCATCAATTCACTTGGGTATTATCATCTCCAGCCTGGTTTGTAGCCGTGGCCTTCTGAGATCTCTCCCACTTCTACTCTTGATTCTGCACAGTCTTGTCATTAGAGCAGCTAGACTAAACCTTTAAAAATGCATTTCACATCATGCCACTCCTCTATTGATTTGCACCAGCCTCCACTTCTCACTCCAACTAAAAGCTAAAGTCCAAACGAGGTCTACAAAGCTCCTCCATGATTATCCCCAAGGAATCTATTAGTTAACTCCACCCTCTCCATGAAATATTTGTTTAAACCTCCCTTTCTCACCGGGCCTACTTCATTCACAGTGCTTCTGCTCCAGCCTACCTCTACCATACACTACTCTGTATTTTCTCAATTGTTTGCAATTTTTTCCTTCTAATAATTTCCTATCTTTTATTCCTACTGCATGTTTTCTTTCTACCTCTGGTAGAAGGTAAGATTCATGAGGGCAGCATCTTTGTCACTTTGTTTGCCAACATAGGCCAAGAACCTGATACGTAGTAGGTATTCATTTTTTTCTTGAATGAATAAATAAACAACATATATCCACAACTCTCACTGATGGCAAAGATTATTCCATGGGCTTAAACATCTCCAGAAAATATCAATGATAATGTGAAAGAGTGCATTCAAAAGATCTGACAAAATGGAATAGCATAAAAATTATCATCAGCATATGTATTTGTAATTCTTCTGCCCATTATACCAGCACGTAACTATTGTGTTCCTTGGTGCACACTGTGGTGTGTGAAGAAAGATTAAGAACTGTTCTCTTGACTTCCACCTGTTAAAAATAACAGTGCAAACAGGTTCTACCTTCACAGTGCACTGCATATTGTAAAAAGTCTGTTTTTTTCTTTGATCTTAATAACATACCATACAGTTCATCTCTACATAAGGCAATCTTTATATATACCTACCTGTAACAACCAAGTGCGTTGTGCCATTTGCTTTTCCAAACTGGTTTTCTGCTGTGCAGGTGTAAGTTCCAACATCAGCTTTAGTCACATTGGCTATTTTAAGTCCTCCATCTTTTAAAAAAGAAATTCTAAAGAGAAATAAAATTAGACAAATAAGTGTATAATAGTCATTTTTCCCAAATAAATAGCAATTTTTAAATAAAAGTATTGTCTTGAGCTAGGATTTCTATGGCTAGATAAACCAGTCGGTAGCCTTCTTGGGAATAAAGAACACTAAAAGAAAATTTACACACACACACACACACACACACACACAGAGTAAGAAAAGATGCTCTACCAATTTGAACTTTTCTTGACATTTTTATGCAGCATTACTTAACAGCATTATTTAACATTACACCTACTTTCAGGGACGACTTTATCAAATAAACGTGAAATGTCTTCTAAAAATATATGGTGAGGTAGATTGTTCATGATGGGCTAGCCTTATCCATTTGGAGAAAATAGAAAATAGACATGACATGAATTCCCTTAACTTTGAAACAACATATGAGAATTGAGAAACTCTCTTTCCTTTCATAATGAACTTGGGAGAGTCACGTTTGACCCAATATAAATTCAAATTTTGCAAAATAATACGTTCATGGTCACCTGTGAGCTATTGCAAGGAATTTGGGCAGTACAAATGAACCTTACATTAGATTTTCTGAGCATATGCTTAAAGTACTTAAAGCTTTTGTACCTAACTAATTAATTAAGGAAATACAAATGAGTCTCTTACATGTGCTAGGCATTATGAGACTCTCTGGGATTATAGTGTGAACAAGATAGAAAGTCTCCACCTTCCTGGAAGTTAACAGTCTACTGAGCAACACAGACAATAAATAACCATGCTCAGATATTGGAGAAGTATTCTGAAGGAGACGAACAGGGTGATACGACAAAGAGTAATAGCTATAAGAGTGTTTCCATGATAGGGTGCCTCAGAAATGCCTCTTAGAAGAGGTATCATTTGAAATGAGAAAGAAGAATGAGAAAGGGTTTACCTGTCATTAATCAGATCCATGAATCTTAATTGCCCATCTTGTCTACCCATAATTATTTCCCCTTTCCTTGAATTCCTAAAATCTTTACTACTCATACCATACATTTAACACTTAGGATGCTTTTTATCTTGTATGATTCATATCTTTGGTATGTGAATGTCATATCTATCTAAAGACAAGGTCAACTTCTTTAAAAAGATTTCCAACCCCAGTGTCAGCATGACATGATATATGTAAACCATGATCAGTAAGTGTTTCTAACTTTTAGGCTCTACAATAGACAGGAAGGATGCTAAGGGCATCAGACTATAGTGGACGATCTCAACTCAGTTTATAATTATTATCCTGCTTGATGCAAGATTTGGAGGTGAGTGTCAAAAGTGTGATTAGTCTGAGTTTATGTATCAAAATATACAAGATACATATTTTATATTACACATATGTATTTTTAATGTATTTTTTATTATGTTCAGGTAGCCACTGTATAGTACATCATTAGTTTTTGATGTAGTGTTCAATGATTCATTAGTTAAGTATAATACCCAGTGCTCATCACAGCATGTACCCTCCTCAATACCCATCACCCTGTTACCCCCTTCCCCCATCCTCCTCCCCTCTGACACTCCCAGATTGTATCTCGGGGTCCATAGTCTTTCATGGTTCATCTCCCTCTCTGATTTCTCCCCCTTTGGATTTCTCTCCTTCCCCTATGGTCCTCTGTGCTATTGCTTATGTTCCACATATGAGTGAAACCGTATGATAATTGTCTTCCTCTGTTTGACTTACTTCACTTAACATAATCCCCTCCAGTTCCAACCATGTCGATGCAAATGGTGAGTATTCATCCTTTCTGATGGCTGAGTAATATTCCATTGTGTATATGTACCACATTTTCTTTATCCATTCATCTGTTGAAGGGCATCTCGCTCCTTCCACAGTTTGGCTATTGTGGACATTGCTGCTATGAACATTGGGGTGCATGTGCCCCTTCTTTTCACTACTTCTGTATCTTTAGGGTAAATACCTAGTAGTGCAATTGCTGGGTCATAGGGTAGCTCTATTTTTGACATCTTGAGGAACCTCCATACTGTTTTCCAGAGTGGCTACACCAGCTTGCATTCCTACCAAAAGTGTAAGAGGGTTCCCCTTTCTCCGCATCTTTGCCAACATTTGTTGTCTCCTGACTTGTTAATTTTTAATGTATTTTATATTACATATATATATATATTCCTTTGATGACCTGTAATTCACTTTCACTCAAATCCTACTTTCATTTTCTTGAGTGAGAAAGTGGTGGAATTAGAGCCAGCACACAGAGACCTGCTCATCATCCTGGGTAGAGTATCCATGAATATTTGTTGCTCATGTGATTTTTTTTTTTTTAATATGTCAAGGTATGTTTGAAACAAAAGGGTTTGAGAACAATGGCCTAGAAAGCTAATCAGGGAACACAGAACATTGTATTTTAATTTGAGGAGTAAAGTACAAGGGTTACAAATGCCAAGAACTTTCCTAGGTAGCTGTGAAAAAGGTGTTATATCTGATTTCCCTCATGGAACCCTGACCACTTTGATGGGTATGAAATGTCTGCTGATCACTTCTCAAAGAGATCATTGAAGAAAATCTCTGTACCTTAGCTTCTCAGAAAACAAAGGTTTTCTTAAATAGTGTGCAATGATAACGGAAAGAAGAGACCCAGCAGAGGGACACAAGCAAACCAAACACCTCGCATATGGAGACTAGTTTGAGAAACACGAGGAGTAACCTGAAAGAAATGTAAGTCTGATCATGTAATTCGCCATAACCCCCAATCCTGGCTTAGACCGCTTCTCTGGCATCACATTGCCTATAGGAGAAAAATGATTATATCCTAAGCCTGAGCCGTATTTTCTCATTGGGACCCTACCTCTCTCTAATTTCGTGAAACCCCATGAATTCTACCCCTTGTTTGCTTTTCCCAGTCACACATACTTTCTTTTAAATGCTTTTATGCTCCCTCTTGTCTTGGAGCCTTTGTGAACACAGTCCCCTATGTCTGGTTAATGGGTACTGAACCTTCAGATTTTGGCCACTTCCCTGAACCATGGGTCAAATGAGATGTTCCTGTAAGTGATGATACATCGTCTGTGCCTGCTTTATAGCATTTGACAACTGGCCAATTCCACATTTTGTGCTTATTTGACTAATTTTCTCCTCTAGTAAGCTCAGAGACTGTAAGCTCTCTGGAAGTAGGGAGAGTGTCTAGATAGTGTCTGATTTACTCACCACTAAATTCCTAGAGCCTTGAACCATTCCTGACATAGAGTAAATTGATACTTGTTGAATGAACAAATGATTGTATGCCTCTAGAGAGTCACTACAGAAGAACTGGGATTAGTGAAGGCAGGTTGCAAGGCACTGAGGATTTTAGAAATTACAAGAAAATAAATTCAGAAAGTGTGCAGACTATTATACACATACACATGTATATACATATACACATATATATGTGTATTTATGTTTATGCACATGTATATGTGTATGGTTGACCTGTGAAACCCGTGTTTGAACTGCATGGGTCCACTTATTCACAGATTTTTTAAATACAGTATTGAAAATGTATTTTGTCTTTCTTATGATTTTCTTAATAATACTTTCTTTTCTCTAGCTTACTTTATTATAATAATATAGTATATAATACATATCACATACAAAACGTGTGTTAATTGATTAAGCTATTGGTAAGGCTTCCAATCAATAGTAGGTTCTTAGTTAAATTTTTGGGGAATCAAAAGTTACACTGAATTTTCCACTTTGCATGGGGTTGGCACCCTTAACCCCCATGTTGTTCAAGGGTCAATTGTGTAAATATATATGTGAAAAAAAGAAAGCTGATACAACAGAAGGAAGGATGAAGAGAATTTAGAAATTCCTGGGATAGGAGGACTACAAATGTACTTTTACTACGAAGAAAGAAGTTAAGAAAGTGGGAGAGACTGAAGATAAAGATGGGGAGAAAAGGAAGGAGGAAAGGAGACAAAGAGAGTGTGAGAAAAGTTATCGAGAGAAGTCTCTGGGGCGCCTGGGTGGCTCAGTCGGTGAAGCGCCTGCCTTCGGCTCCAGTGATGATCTCTAGATCCTGGGATCGAGCCCCGCATCGGGCTCCCTGCTCAGCAGGGGAGTCTGCTTCTCCCTTTCCCTCTGCCCCTGCTCTCTCTCTCACTCAAATAAATAAATAAAATTAAATTTAAAAAAGAGAGGGAGAGAGAGAGAGAGAGAAAAGTCTCTGAATGAGTACAAAGAAGGGCAATGTTCCTGACCCATTTTGTTTGCTAATCCTATCTGTAAAAATTTAGGGCCACGACCCTCAAAGAGGATAGGATTTGACCCGTAGCCTTGCTCAATAAATTTTACCTACCTTTACTAGTCAAAGAAAAAAAAATGCAACTTTGATGGAGATCTTAATATGTAAAGCAAGCAAGGTAGGAGATGCTTATCAGAAGGTCTTAAAGATATTTGAAGTGAGGTAACCTCATCTGTTTTGAGATAGAGGCTGGAGGTAGAATTAGAAGCTCCAGGAAGCTGAGCAACTGACCCCTTCCAAGATTAGCAACCAAAGTAAAAATGTCTCTGGTTGACCGGACAAATATTCACTCGAAGCTCAGACCTTCTGATTTGGATATCACAGAACAGAGATAGGCAATTTTAGATATCTTCACATGCTATGAATTAGTTTAACAGTGAACCTTCCACTACAAATATAGAACTATTAGGGATATTGGAAGAACTACAAAACCTTTGGTGCATGAGGTTTAATAGCTTAAATGAGCAAACCTATCTTCATGACTATGCCAAGATGAGGCATAGTTTCAAAAGCAAGGCTAACAACTTAGGAATCACACAGACTCCAAAACAAACATATTGACTCTCAAAGAATGCAAACTCTGTACATTGTAAAATTTTGAGCTAATTGGGTATTTTCTTCCTAAATTGGTTCTTCCAGTAAGATCTAAGAAGCCCACAGGGCATTTCACACAACATAAAAATAAACAATATTCAGTAAATGGATGGAGTAATTGTTTCTCAAAAGAAAACCTTCAATA